TTGGACCACTCCCCGTCCTCAGGTAACCGTACGGTAAAAAAAATGGGTCTTTAATTGTTTATTTTAAAAAATCATAATCCTAACTCTACCTGTAAGTCAAATTAATTCATGTCATATGTTACTCAAACTTGTCAATTATCAATCATGTCTATAAATACAAATTTTTGTTAACATTCGAAGAGTTGGAATCGGGACGCGCTTGTCCTTGATACTGTCCGACCCAACGAGAAATAAAGGTCTGCAAATCGTAAAGCGGCTCTTCATCTTCATTCACTAAATAGTCCACCCTAGTGGCTTTACCGACAAGCCCACGCATCTTACGCGAGGGTGTGATAGTATCATAAATTTAAAAAGATATATAAAATTAAAGCGATGAAAAACAGTTTGTAAAACCTAATCTAATATTGCGTAGAAAAAAATAAAATTATCGTGGTGATAGATTAATTATCTAAAATTTGATTTAAAAACCAGACACGTAGCAACGGGGGGGGGGGGACCCCCCACTTTTTTTCCCAACCATACCTGTAAATTGAAAATGTCGAAAGTTTGGTTGCCCCCCCCCCCCCTCACCCCCACTTCTTACCACAGTATAGTGATATGTAGGAAAATGTAGTATTGTATGCAAAAAAATGGAAGCTGGCCTTGAAAAAGTTGACCACTACCCCCACCCCCAACGAAATAGGATTTTCGAGTTAAGGCAATTTTCCCTTTTTTTTTTTTTTTGCTTGTCAACATTTTACAGATAAGTAAAAATATTTTTTTTTCTCTGGTCCCCCCCCCCCCCCCACTTTCAAAACCGATGTTACGTGCCTGAAAACACACACACACATACTGTGGAGAATCCTAAATTATACCGTACAACATGAGAAAGAGTACAGTCTGCTTGCATAAAATGACGATTGGATGTGATTGACGGGGAATTTTATATTTTTTAGAAACTTTTTTATACAAATTATTTAAAAATTAAGGTGTGGGTGGCTATCGATCCACACTTCAGACGCCTTTGGTATTCTCTTAACACTATGAAAATCAAGCTGATTCAAATCAGACACGAGGTGTAGCGATCACATCATCTATGTGAGTGGATCAAAGGGTCTGATATTACTCAGTAAATCAGATTGTATGAAAACCATGCTAATAATAAATGGAGTTGGGATCGGCCTTCAAACTTCTATGTACAAAAAACGCTTGAAAATTTCATTTGAAAAATACTTACAAAGAAGCGCTCTGCAGACGTCAATTTTTTCATGCCACCTTGACACCCAAATAGCTAAACTGTGAGAAGGTATTTTAAAACTTTTATTATCATTTTTTGGGAAAACAAGATATATATTTGTATGCAGATGTCTTTTTAATTATATAAATCATTGGTCACGATGGTAATGATATATATTCTTAACTTACAACATGAATTGATGACCAATGGCCTCTGAATTCCTATCAATAAGCCGAATATGCTTTATACCCCCTCTCTATGTATTAGTACCCGGTATATTATATATAGAGGGGGTATATATATAACTCGAATCAAGCATATGATGGCTTATGAATTGAAATTTTGAGGCCTGTGTTAACCAGGTTGGGCACACACCGCCAAATGGTCATTAAACCCCCGTTTGGTGGTCAATCGCCCATATAGACGTCTTTTTTACATACCAATTAGCCCCTTCACGGTAACTGCGGTACTACAGTTTTGCAGGGCAAAATAATAGCGTTTGGCGAAGTTTTTGTTGACAGACAATTAAATGACGTATATTTAACAATTACTTTTACGTCATATTTCACCAAACTATATCATTTTGCCCTGCAAAAGAGCAGTACCGCAGTTACCGTGAAACGGTCTATGGTGGTCTTTTTTATTCAAATCCAATTTTTATTAAAATAAAGCAAAAGTGCAATTACTTAGGCATTGGGGAATTTTGATTAACATATTCCTCGCACATTTAATACAATTAAGTCAATTTTCCATGTGCAATTTCTGTGGAACTTCGTAAAAACGAAACCCACAGCTGTTCGTGACGGCCGAACTATTTGCTCAAACAATTATACAAACAATTCTTTTGTTGTGTATAGTTCGGTAAAAATATATTTAAACAAGAGTTGTTAGTCTAGAGAAGTAACTTTTCAAATGATCTTTCGATCTGCGTCTATATAAATCTCTATAAAATCCTGTTAAACACGAGCTCCTCATATCTTATTCGTATGGTGGGCACTTATTGCTATAATATTCATTTTTACTACATTTAATTGTAACATTTATTCTTTATTTTCTTTAAGGATTAAGTTACAATTTCTGTGCGACCCTTTGTGGTTTAGTATACATATCTATGATGTTTCTACTATATTTATGAAATAATTTTGAATAAAAGATTTACAAAGTGACAGCTGCAATTATTCTTGAATTTATTTCAAGATTATGGTTTTTGAGCGATTATTTTATCATGAATTCACTGCAACTCCTATTTTTATAAAGAATAAAGCCATTGCATACGAAATAAACAAAATGAAAGCGAATTCTTACCCTTCCTCTTATTTTACTTTTTGAAAATTAACACTAATTGGCCTCCGTAGTTAAATCAGTCTTTTGACCCAAGTCCGGGAAAGATCGTCAATTTTAATTGGTTTAGATAATTAATGGGTTACCCGGATGACAGAAATATGAAGTGATAAACACGATTGATAGGTGCAACTACGCGCGAGATGGAGGGAATTTTTCTTTTTAAGTTAAAACACAGAAACGTTACACTTGTTTACATAGGTGACAATTTTGTAAAATATTTGAATGACACTGTGCAAAAAAGTTCGCGTTGAAATTCAGATTTTTTTCTTTCAGAGTATTGATAAATATCTATATTTTATTCCCTGTGAGTTCAAATTATGCGCCATTTCACGTCATTCCAGAGAACTGAACAAAACGATTTTTCTCTCTCATTTGATAGGTAATAAAGACGCCGATATGGGCGATTAACCACCAAACTGGGGTTAAATGACCATTTGGCGGTGTGTGCCCATTGGTACTCCTAAGCGTAACAGACAGAAATGTACAGAAAGATGTACTGATGCCGTGATGGACATACAGCCGGTTCCATGTTCGTTCGCCCTAAAAATTGTTCGCCCAATTTCCGGTTTGCCCAATTTTCCGTTTGCCTAGAGTCCGCTCATCCTAAAACTTGTTCGCACAGAGTCCCTTTGCCCTAATTCAATGTAGAATAAAGTCTAACGAATTTCTTTCCAAAATTTTGTTACATTCAAAATAAAACAAACCGTCAGACTTCTCAGTCCTTTAATTGTTTTCAAAACATTCGCAATTCGTAGAAATAACACGGATGTATCCCCCTAATTAATGATGATATTAATCATCTTATTAGCTATAGTGCAACACTAAGTAAGTCATTCAAAAAACATTAGAATGAAATTAAAAATTAATTAATTAAGGAATGAAGCTTATTTCAACTTATATTATACGATATAACATAACTTGCAGTCACGCTTTATAAACCGCGAAGCGGTTTATAAAAAACTTGCCCCAAGTTTTGTTATATCGTATAATATAAGTTGAAATAAGCTTCATTTCTTATAATTTAATTTCAGTGCAGACAATGAGATAATTTTCTCCCCAGAATAAGGCTTAACAATGATTAAATTTTAAAAGTAACGTCAAGCGGAGTAATACGTTTTTTGACGTAACTCATTGTGACGTAGGCAAGTTATGTTATCCAAAATGGATAAAATCTTTTATCCAATCAAATGCGCGTTTCAAGTAAAATTAAATTATTACTAACTAAACATTGTTCCTCGTATCAGAATTTGAGAAAAAATACCCCAAGTTTGTAAAGGAAATAAATAGAAAAAATGATATATGTTGTTTTTTAATTCATATGAGTTTATATATATACAATTGTATATAAGTATTGTGCGAACCACATATTATAGGGCGAACAAGATATTGGGCGAAAAATATTTTGGGCAAACGGACTCTGCGCAAACGAATTCCTGCGAACAGGTAGATCGGGCGAACGAACCCGTTACCAATACAGACGGACATCCTCATCAATATATATGCCTTCCCACTTTTTAGCTCTACTGGTCAGAGACCAGAAGAGCTTATGCAATAATAAGGTTTTCGTTGTCTGTCTCTCACTAAACAATTTTTCAAAATGCTACTCCTCCTACAGTATTGGTCCGATTTCAATATAACTTGGCACACAAGCAGAGTGCATCTGTTTTTGATTTCGATGAACGGTATTGCCATGTGTACCAAAATTAGAAATTTCTGTGAAATTATTTGGAACGCTACTCCTACTACAGTTTTGATCTGATTTCAATATAACTTGGCACACAAGTAGACTACACTGCGTAATACATAATTTAGTGCATCAGTTTTTGATTTTGTTGAATGGTGTTGCCATGGTTACTAAAAATAGATATTTCTGTGAAATTCCTTTAAAAAACTACTCCTCCTACAGTTTTGATTTGATTTCAATATAATTTGGCACACATCGAAGTTAGACTTCATTAAGATACATTAATTCTATTTATTGCTGCCTGGTGAAAAGTTTCAAAAGTTGTTTTGTGTACAGACCAGTAGAGCTACTGTCTCATGAGAGACTTCTGGTTATGCGGGGTTATAATAAGAATGAAGACTTGAAAAATTTTAAGTTGGGAGGGAATAGGTTCCTAATTTATCTATTACAATCAAGGTGACTCATGTTTGCAGTCTGGCCCTTAGCCTTTTGCTCAAATTTATACAGTACTGCCCGATATTCATATATGAGTGAGATACACTGTACATGTATATCTGAAATATTGCTTTTGATATTTAAATAAAAATTTTCTTATTCCAGATCTACATATTGGAAACCAACCAAATGATTCTGCAAACCCTTACCCAGTCATATGCTCAGTTCGCCAGAAGCTTGTCAAAGATTCTGCTACTGTTTTTTCGTGTTGCCTGGCAGTCCAAGTTTTGCTTTCCCTATTTACTGACCAGTGCATTCCTAGCACTAGATGTGCGAGTAAGAGTGGAAATTGAAATTCACATGTATTAAAATGTGACCTACTCGAACAATACCTTCTCTTTAATTCCGTCCAAAAAGCCTGTGATATTTTTTTTATGTAAATATATATATAACGATGAGTCGAGGTGTGAGAGATCTAAGGGACCTGATATGTGTGTCTAGACTGACAGTGCGTGATAGTGATGAAGAAATATTTTCCGATGATGAAGTTGTAATAAAAGACTTAGATACACTATCAGTCAGCAGTGCAAGTTCTGTGGACAGTTCCAAACGTCTACCCTCCGTAGAACGTCACGTGTCTCCTGACTCTGGGTGTGTCACTAACACATGCAGTAGCACCCCACCGGAAACAGCTGTAGAGACTGACGTAATACCTAAGAAAACAAAACCTAAAAAGAGAAAGAAGAGAGACAAGAAACCTGTACTTAATATTGTTCCTGGAACCTATGAACTCCCAAGAGCTGAGGTATTACCACCAGTGGCCTCCACTTCTTTTGGGTCAATTATTTCCGAAAATCAGGATGTCGATGAAGTGTCTTCACCAGTTGTTGATAAAAGAGTCCGGGCTAACACCACAAACTTTGATGACATGATGTGCTATATTGATGCCACTGTTGTATCAAGTTGGTTGTCTAGAGCTAATGATAACGTTCAGAAATTGTGTGAATTTTGTCAAAATTCAGAGAAGTTTGTACAGTTTGCCCATTTCTGGCTATCTGACTTTCCTGATCAACAGAAAAATGAAATCTTTGAATTAGAATATGAAATTATTGTAGAGGAGGCTAACTTTGCTTTTACTGTTGGGAAAGAGCAGAGGAAGATCACAAATCGTGACATCCTCGGCCTTATTACAGCAGTGTTTAGGGAGTACCCTGGAATACTTCTTAGTAGCAAGGGACCCTATTTATTTCTAGATTACTTGGATGTTTTGTCATCAGAAAAACAAACAAGCTACAAGCGATTGTTGTCTGATGTTAAGTGTTCAACTCGTAACAAACAATATGCTCAATGGATTTTAGCCATGCGATCCTTTACACTTTTGAGTGTGTGGACTGCTATTGTGAATTTTTATCGCAATTTGAAACGAGACGTTTCACCAACTCAAGACCACTCACTCCTCTCTTCATCCTCCAAGGAATCCGTTCATCATCAGAGAGTGGTACAGGCAATCCGACTGGGATTGGTGGACGTCTTACATTATTATATTACCACAGCTCTTGTAAATCCGCATTACAAGGACAGCCACAATAGGACATACATTTTTACAGCAGTGATGTACAATCAACCCAGTATTCTGCATTACTTAATAAACAGGGTAGGGCGCAATTTCAACATTTCAAGAGAACATTCAAGTATGTCGAAGTGGAAAGGAGTACATATGATAAGAGCCAATTTTGGCCCCCTAAAAATCAACATTTTAGAATGACATTCAGTTATGTTTAATTGATATTTATTTTGTAGAGGAGATTATATTAGAAATATTTCCAATATATTTTTCTCATTTATATGCACTCATTAGCTGTTAATAACATGAGAAATAATGCTATTTTTGCTATCTAACAAAAAACAAAAATAGAAACATAGAGCGCAGTGTAGAACATACATAATTTTTATGTCATTAATCAGTATTGGACAGATACATCTTTGGTAAAAATATAAAGCCTTTTCTAGGCTGCGCTCTTTATTTTCAAGAAAAACTATGAAAATAAGCACTTTTATACAAAATATGCTAAAATGATAAATGATGTCATATTTCTAAAATAACGGCATTTTGATCAAAATGAAAATGACCAATAAAGGTCACATATATAGCTGTACAAATTAAAGCTATATATAAAGTAAAATTAAGATATTCATTTTAAGGGGCCAATTGAGACACTTACCACATATCGCTCTTTTAGCAAGATGTAAATTTAGCCTTTTTTCCCGAATTGTCTGTACTTAATTTTAACAAGAATTCTAACAATATTATGATGAACAGAAAGATAACGGTAACTTCCAATACGGAATGAATTCAATTGTTAGTGTAATCAATGCTAGGGATCTCAACATCCTGGCTAAAAATGGCAATTTTGAATCCTCACTAAAATTTCTGCTTACTGTAAACCAACTTTTATTCGCGACGACTTTATTTCGCGATTTACCGGGAGTTAACTAGTTCACGACGATTAATTTTCGCGATCAAGCCGTTTTTGAAATTTTTTTTAATAGACAATGAGACTTTAAGGACCCGTTCGCGGCGAGAAATATTCGCGGTGCCGAGGCTCTCGCGAACCTCGCGAAAATTTCTCGCACGCGAATAAAAGTTGGTTTACAGTATATTGTTGTTTCAAAAATATTTCTTTGAGACACAATAAACCCACAAATTAAGTGTAACTTAGTTTTTAAAATTACTTTTTTATGTTCAGATATAAAATCTCATTATTATTATTATCACAAATTGTTGATAAATTCAATAAAATTATATGCTTATTTCAGGTGAAGCCTCCAATTGATGTAAATTGTGCAGCTGATACTGGTAATACTCCACTCCATGCCGCAGCCAACAATGGCAATGTAGACCTAGTCACCATTCTACTTCAGAATCCGAGAATTGATATCAACTACAAAAACCCGCAGTGTGAAGAAGCCACACCCCTCCATCTGGCAATTATGCTAGGTATTAATAAAGGGTGTAACTACTTTATATAGGGTTATTTTCGTCCTTTCAGGGTTATTTTCGCCTTTTGACATACCGGTAAATTGTCCTTCATGCAACCAATTTTCCCATGTTTTAATTTTGACCAGTCACGTATCTGTTGTAGAAATCATACTGTATTCTTTGAATTCACCCAGTTTTAAGGATATCCGATCCTCAGCCAGGAAGGATAACTCCAAAAATTAATATTAAATTGGAAATGCATAAAAATGAAGCTTGAAAATGAATTTTTTTCATGCAACAATTTTCATTATATTCATCTCTATAAGATTAAAGTTTTCTGGAAGTCTTACAAAAGGTCCTCTAAAAGTTGATATTTGTACCCTATAAAAGGACAAAAAATTAATACAGTTTTAAAGAAATGAGATTTTCTTGAATCCAGCCTTAGATACCAATGCTTATTAGCATGATATGAAATAAGAAGTGATTTGTGGTGTTTTGCAATGATAGCAAAAGCCTTTTACACTATATATTTTAGAAAACATGACGAAAATAAAAGACAAAAAATACCAAATAAGTATAAAAATCATGACAATTTCTCTGAATGCCTGGATACCTATCGTTTTTTAACCTAAAATATATTTGTTGATCAATTTGCAATAAGAAAATTCATTGCTGATATTCCAATTCGCTTTTTCTGAAAAAATATTGGAGATTTGACAATTTTCCCTATATTATATGATTAACTTCAATCTTTAACTTTAAAGAAATACAGTGCTGTGTATAAATTTACATAACTTTGTGGATTCAGAGATACTTTAATGAGTATTTTTTATTACTTAACTGCTAATTGTATAAACCTGAGGATCGGACTACCTTAAATTCGCCCACCTGTGAGTAGGGCAAAAATAAAGCAGAGGCAAAATTTCCCTGTATAGTGTATACAATATAAATATGACATTATTTATTACAAGAGTATTGTGGTTTGCATTCTGCAAGTATACTATAGTAGAAGAAAGTTACTTATTAGTTATCAGATAGCTATATTTACTGATTGAATCTCTTACATGCTGTTTTTATTTTCATATCCATTACATATTGTTTCAGGAAATCGTGAAGTGGTAGAAAAGCTGTTGAAAATGGGAGCAAATGCAAAGTTAACGATGGGAGATCTGACTGCTGAGGACATTGCAAGAGACTTTGGTCATGCAGAACTGTTGCCTTTGTTAAAATCTTGAAAAAAAGAGTCCTTTTCATTTAAAATACACTGTATTAAGGAAATATTACTGCGAGTCTCTTCTTACATTATTGAATCTTAAAAATGTACTTATAAGTTTTTAACCTTGTATAATTGTTTTAACAAGATCAGAAAACTGGTCAAGGAAGGATTTGGGGTATCTGTTATTTAGATACAAAACTGCAGGAAGCTAAATCCGTAAAACTTGTGCCATGAATGATATCAATCTGTGTGATATTTATTATGCACTATCATCTGTGTGAAAGCGTGACACTTTTATATTCATGATAAATAAATAATTTGGTTATTCAAATTCTTTTTTTTCCCCTGGTTTGAACAACATTCCCAAATAAAGTTGAACTTCAGTTCCTCGTACACAGGTACATGTATCTCGAATACAGTTGATATCTAAAACTGATTAAGGAGTCCCAACTAATTATTCTCTAAGTCTTGGATACACATGTATCTCATAATTGTTCATATGTCTCACTGAGTTAGAGATAGTGAAACTTGACTGTAGTTTCTCATATAATTGTTTGCAAAATAGGTCATAAAAATCGTAAAGTTTTCATGTTACGTCATACACAGGTATCTCAAATAGAGAGGATATGTCAAAGTGGTTAAGGTAAACAATGTCTTGGATATCTCATAATTGTTCATTTGTCTCATTGAGTTTGAGATAGTGAGGTTTGACTGTAGTTTCTCATAAATGCATGCTGAGATGTTAATAGACAAAGTTGAATTTAATTTATATTCAACATCCAAGTATATGCAGTCAAATAAAGGGTACCAAACAAGGTACAATAAATAATTTCAGCTCAGGGACATTTGTTTGTTTATATCCTGTACACGTATTTTATTAAATTTTACGTCCCTTCATTAGGTAAAACTGAGTATTCCATGGAAGTATATCAAAATTGTTTTCATAAATTTATACATTGCACTGCAGAGTCAATAGCTTTGGTTATTTTATTAGATTATAGTTTTATTGACCCATGGATCTTGTTCTTTAATTGCAGAATGGAATAACTTGGGCAAATTCTATATTGAGGAACTATCTAAAAAATTTCATAAACATGAGCAAAACCATGTCCTCTTTAATTGAAATAATATGTTTTTTTAATTCTCCGATTTCCCTCAGGAATGTTTCAACATTGTGTGCAATAAATATAGTTATTTTTTGCTTCATGGTCATTTCTTCTACACCATTATTTTCCATTCATTTTCTTTGCTGAGGTTGCATATATTGAAATGAAATTTTGTATACAAATTAATCATAAGAATATCTAGGACAAGTTCGGTTTTGAGTACAATCAAGCCATTTTTGACAGAGTTATGCCCCTTCGACTTAGAAAAATCCCAATTATTTGGGGGAGGGGGACATAAGTGTTTTACAAACATCTCTTGTCTTATGATGGGCCTATGGACTAGTGGGCTCATTTGAGTTACAAACCACTTTGTAGAGAGAAAAGAGAAAATTTAACAACCACTTTCTGTGGCTTTGTTTGATCGTTTTAGTTCCTGCCATTATTGAGAAGTCTTATTACTCCTATAGCAAAACTGACCCCCTCCTGTAACAGTACTCTGATTTTCCAATTCTCTACCAAAGTTTGACATCTGTTGAACCTGAACAATATGGGGACTTTTTCACAATAAAAATTTTACTAATTGCACTTCTGTTTATCAGAACAAGATTTTTTTAAAATCCTATTTTCATATTCCTATACAGAATATGATTATACATGTAATGAACTGAGGCTTACAACCAAGTAAACTTCATTCCCTCTGACATTTAAAGATATATTATAAACTTAACTGATATTAGACAGAGGGATACATATCCTTGTACGTCCAAAACTTATGTCTTATTTCAATTGATAAATGCATATAGTTTATAGGAAAAAAAATAAGAAATACACGGTATTATATATATTAGTTTTTATTAGTTGGTTTTTCAGTATAACCAGCAGCTATTCCATACAATCCCTCCACTGCATATCACGGGAGTTTATTTGGAAGCCCCGCCAATATGTTGACAGGTTTTTTAAAAATTCCTATGATGGATCCTTTTAATTCTCTACTATCATAGATGTTATTTCTTATGAAAGTATTAACCAAACTTGTTAATCCTACTTTCTGCTCTGATTTAATATATTGATTTGAAGTTTCAATGTTTCTAAAATCTAATAAATTAACGTGGAGGCACCTATAGATACTTTCTAGCCAAAACCACTTGAAGACAATTTTAAAATACAAATTGAAAGCATTGAGAGTTAATTGACATTTAATTGTGAAGGATAATTTTACCTGCTGAGTCAGCTTTTATTGTGGACACACCCAGAGCCTGACTACGAAGGACAACAGAAGACGTGGTCTCTGGCTGATTTTTAGACACACCTATATTTCTCATCTTCCCTGTCACCAAGGATACATCTGCCACTTCTTCATCAGGAACGACTAGCTCTCGGTATGATGATCCTCCTAAATTTAATGACAAAATCAGATGAACATCAAAAGTGAACAAAAAACACCTGTTGATTTATTCCTTGTCAGAGTTATTTCCCTTTTAAGTGAAAACTCTCAAAAGTAAATTGAAACTAAATCTGACTGATCCAAATCTAAATACATGTACATACAAATTAACTCGCGGAGTTAATATTCGCTATATTCGCAGAAAAAGAAATTCCGCAAATTCAACATATAGTGAATAATTCTTGAAAAGATTTATAAGGGTAAACTGAAATTTTATTATCATCTGTGATCAGATGTAGACTGTCATTATAATTATGAGAGTGTATACAAACATGTAGTTGTTGGTGTTTTGTAAAGCTTATTAATTGTTAAATTAATTTCTATAGCTAACGATTACGGTAGTTTGCCATCTAGTAAACGTGCAATGTAATTATTTCATTAAACAAGCTTGTATAATTTCACCCGTGTGTATCACTCAGTCATTACCTTTAATCAAGGCACTTGCGAAGTAAACAGGGTAATTATAAAGACAATTAATTAATTTCAATTATGTGATTAAAAGTTCAACAATTTGACTACTATATATTTTTTTATTTGGCCTCGGAAATAAAAAATATTCTGACGTAACATTATTTTGACTTCAAATCGGGATACAGTGGTGTTTCGTTATTATTTAATCGGGCTCAAATTTGACACAATATATAGACTTGCCTCTCCTGTCTGATATGCGCTATATACAAGAACAGACCTTCGTAAGATAGAGACTGAAAATAAAGGTTCACACAATATATACCTAAAGAAAAATGCTTGCAAGTACTATTTAAAACATAGGTAATCAGAGATTACAGAGCTCACCTCAACGAATGTTGTCTTTAAGTAAGGCAAAGTCACACAATTACCCAACAAAAAGTGTACATCCAAAAATGAAAAATTTATGCAATTTTGATCTGATGCTTTGGAATAGACCTATATAAAAACTTCAAACTAGTTCTTCATCATGAAAATGTGATCAAAATCCAGCAGCTGAAGCAAGTTTAAGAGTTTTCATCCCTTGATGCATCATTTGGGCAAGTTTGGTTTATTTAAGCCTTATAGTTTCTTGGTGATAGACCTGCACCCATAACTTTTACCTGGTCCATTATCTGGAAAATGTATGTTGAATTCAGCATCCGTAGCAAGTCTATTAGTATGCATCCTAAGATGTATCATCCATGCGAGTTTGCACAACATAGGGCTAATAGTTACTTAGAAATGAAACCTGCATAAAAATTTAACCTCTTCACTCATCCAGAAAAAAATGTAGGTCAGATTCAGCATCTGAAGCCAGCCTGGTAGAATGTAACCTTAGATGTATCATCCATTCAAGTTTGGTCATTAAAGAGCTCATAGTTACTTGGAAATGAATCCTGCATCAAAAGCATTAACCTGTTCACTCATCCAGAAAATGTAGGTCAGATTCAGCATCCGAAGCAAGTCTGGTAGTATGCATCCTAAGATGTATCATCCATGCAAGTTTAGTCATTATAGGCTCATTGTTAATTGGAAATGAAACCTGCCCCAAAAACTTTAACCTGTTCACTCATCAAGAAAATGTAGGTCAGATTCAGCATCCGAAGCAAGTCTGGTAGTATGCATCCTCAGATGTATCATTCATGCAAGTTTGGTCAACATGGGACTTATAATTCCTTGGAAATGAGACCTGCACCAAAAACATTAACCTGTTCACTCATCCAGAAAATGTAGGTCAGATTCAGCATCTGAAGCAAGTCTGGTAGTGTACATCCTTAGATGTATCATCAATACAAGTTTGGTCAACATAGGACTTCTAGTTACTCGGAAATGAGACCTGCACCAAAAACATTAACCTGTTCACTCAACAAGAAAATGTAGGTCAGATGCAGCATCTGAAGCAAGCCTGGTTGAATGCATCCTTTGATGTATCATCAATGCAAGTTTGGTCAACATAGGACTTCTAGTTACTTGGAAATGAGACCTGCACCAAAAACATTAACCTGTTCACTCAACCGGAAAATGTAGGTCAGATTCAGCATCCGAAGCAAATCTGGTAGTGTACATCCTTTGATGTATCATCAATGCAAGTTTGGTCAACATAGGACTTCTAGTTACTCGGAAATGAGACCTGCCCCTAAAACATTAACCTGTTCACTCAACCGGAAAATGTAGGTCAGATTCAGCATCCGAAGCAAGTCTGGTAGTGTACATCCTTAGATGTACCATCCATGCAAGTTTGGTCAACATAGGGCTTATATTTCCTTGGAAATGAGACCTACACCAAAAACTGCACCAAAAATGTTAACCTGCTCCAAAAACATTAACCTGGTCATTCCTTTGCTGAAATTGCAGCATCTGAAACTTTGACTTGTACAATGAAACACACTAGATGCATCTTCCATGCATGTCTAATCAAAATCAAACGCCGACACCGACACCGACGCCGAGGGTATTACATAAGCTCCCCCAACTTCGTTGAGGTGAGCTAAAAATGTATGGTTTTTTTCCTTTCCGCGAATTCAAACGACCGCGATTTGCTGAAAATTGAACAAATCGCGATCTTTTCCGACCGCAATTTTAACCTGCTATACAGTATATTGGTGAATACTCTGGGTTTTGTACCTGGTAAAAGGTCTGCAAAGTTGGTGACATAGTTCCCATCCCACTCCAAGTTACTGTTACAAGCAAGTTCCATCTCAAATGGAGTAACAACAGGCTTGTAAAACTCAGAGCTGTCTAACAGACTGTTCTCTGGGCAGGCCACCAAAACAAACACATCAATCTCCATGAAGTTTGCCAATTTTGGAACATTAAGTTTGCCCACTACAAAAGTATAGCTCTTTTTCCCAGCTTTCTTGATCATATCTTTCAGTCTGTTGATAATGTTTAGATAGTTCACTACTCCCAGCGTTCCAACCACTATGCCGACAATACTGGCATCTTTAGCTCTCTCTACCATGTGAAAGCGCTTCATCAGGGCCTTGCTGCTCCTTACATTTTCTTTCACAATTTCTTTTAGTGCTGGATTATAACAACAGAATGTACATTTGTTAAATGTTATCATCAAGTTTGATAATGTCAGACTCTCCTCTCCAATATAAAATATTTTTCTGGACTCGTTAAATTCCTGATCACTCAAGTTGGGAAATAGTCTCCCACATTTACTGAAAACTGGAGTCTGAGAATCCGTACTGACAGGTGCTGTACTGTTTATATCAGTCCTCCTCTCTTGAATAGAGGTAGTATTTTCTGAACATAAAGATTGTAAGTCTGAGCTTGGAAGATCTAGCTGTGATACTGTCAAATTCTTGAAAGTTGGTATCAGTTGACTGGAAATTGATTCTGTAATAAAAATGTAATTTGCATCTGTGATTAACATGTTAAGTATCAAAAGACTGAAATTTTAAAACGTATTTAAATTTTCAAGAACCCATGAAGACATTTTTTGTTGACAAGAACTAGTGTGTAAAACTATTTCTCTGATGCCTGTATATACCAGTATATTAAACTGAAGTAAACTGATACTTATAAAGAAGATGTCTGTAAGAGACTAATATAATCTTTCTTGCTGTTAAATTTGTACACTTAAAAAGCAACATGGCTTCAATCGTACACTGTTTAAGCATTACCTGCAACATATGCATATTCTGTGTCATAAATCAGGACGACATTATCCTCAGCAGAATACAAACTGCGGAACTTCTCTATGCAGTCTGTTACATCAATTTCCTGATGACCAAACACATACAACACAGGGAGACGCTTGGTCGGACTCAGACACGCCTGACCGAAGTGAATGATGCTGTCTGCTGAAAAATGCTCTGCTGCCACTTCATCCACACAACAACTGTTTGTTAAAATAGAAAAAAAATTGTAATGTTGATGCTAAGAGATACCCTGTCAATAGTTTATTATATTTTCTCTTACAGACATGAAGAAAATACAATCAACAAAACTGGGTTTTAAATTTCATATTTCTAAACAGGTGCTCTACTGAGTGAAATCTCAACCAATCACAATAAACCTGTCTGTCTCTGATCCTTACACACACACACCCCTTCTTTGATGTACCCGGTAGATCATCACTCTATATATGCTCCAAGAGACACCGGAGGTCTGTTCAGTTGAGTGAATGTACAAAGGTGCTCCCCAAAATTACTTATCCCTCTAAAAATGTTTGCAAATACTCACAAATTCTTTGTTGAACAGGCTCATCAATAGAAAATTTGATTTTCACCTTTTAATCCTATACATGGTCAAATCACAAAATTTTACAGAAAGAATGTACAATGGAACAAGCTAGTGGCTCATTCAAACTTGATTCCCCCTGAGTTCTAGACAAGTGTTCTACTGGGCTATATATAAAAAAAAAACCCTGGCCTCCAGTGAAGAAACCTAATTTAGGCCACACCAATAATTTTTTTTGTTCTTCGGACCCGCGCGGTCATATTTAAACAAAACTTTACAAATAATATTATTTTAAATTTCCTGCATCGTGGGAATTCTTTGCTAATTTCTTTTCCATTGCCGTTCTATTTATCGTATTTTTAATCTGCTTAATCTGCAAAGCTGAAAATATAATTGTCCGCTCAATTTTTTTTTCCACATTCTGCCTAAAAAGTTTGCCTACAAAAAGTAATATTATTATTTTTTAACCACTTGCCCGCTTGTACTTTTTTCATCAAATGTCAGACAAACAAGAAATTAAATTGGTGTGGCCTTATGAACACTTTCTAATTCTCAATTTAAATGCTGTGATAATTAAATGTTGCAGTAAAAAAGTTTATTATATATACCTGCCATATGAAGTGTCCCCTAGTATAGCTATTTTCTTGTTGGTTTCTCTTTCTAGGCTTTCAGCAACTCGAGCTGCATCTCTCATTATCTTATCTGGAAACTGGAGAGCAACCTGTGAATTTACAGGAAGAAACATTAAATGTTGCAAGTTCTGAGTTCATCAGAACCAAAAGACAGGTTCAATTAGCTTCTCTGGTCACCTGTCTGTCCATTTTCACTTCTCTATATAACCAATGATTCAATTTCAACCTTAGGCCTCTTGTATGTATTGAACATTTACAGTAAAACTTGTTTAATACAAACACAGATATTGGGAATTCACAGATAAAGTGAAGTGATCTTGGATCCCCAACTATATGAATTCAATGTATTATTTAAAACAAATTACAGATACAGCAATATAATTATTATCATTGGTCCCAGCCACTTCATTATAACTGATTTTTACTGTATAATATTGACTGTGGAATATTAACTAAGTGTTAAACATGTTATCAATGTGCAGATGATTTACCCTTTCAAAACCATTGCTTGTTATCCATTTGGCACACCTTGGAATTTCATACACATCCTCTATATCACTGCTGGCAGTAGATGACTGTAGTTTTGCAGCATCAATTTTCCTCTGAATGACTATTTCGTCGGCAGTACTAAAGGCTGACATTGTGTCTAAATGGACTATCACACTGTTCTCACATCAACAGTACAATTACTCATGCAGATTCTGAAGTTTGATTTAGTAATGTTTTTCAGCTTTAGGCGGATTTGATTTAACTTTTGTGAAGATTACACACCATAACATTTCATCCACATGCTATGGACAATTTGAAAATAAAAATCTCCTTTGATCAGTTAACTTTTAGCTCTCATCTCCTGGCCATAATGATTTCTGACATCCATGTGTGCACCTCCATCATGTTGGAACTGTTTAGCTCACTGTTTCGTATCTACATTTACAACTGCAATAATGATTATATATTTGCTATTTCAAAAAGAAATAATAATTTTTTATTTTTAACATTATCATATATCTCGCCCCTTCTCCTTTCAATACAATGTAATGAGTGTTGTTCAATTTTTTTTTTCAAGTCGGCGGTGTTCCCTAATTTTACCCAATTCCAAATCAAGCGTTCTTGTGAAACAGACGAAGGAAATTGTTTACTGAGAAAGTCCTTCTGCAATATTTGTGTTATTTTGTTAGTACGAGGTAGCTCAAAATATTGATGAAAATCTTTGCATTTCAATATAATAGCCCTCACAGGTGAGTAATAAGTCTATGTGTGGGCTGATTATTGGCAGTTATGTCACAAATCGGACACAGACTTGTTGAAAACTTCTTTTATGCTCCAATATATTTTTATAGTAGGGGTAACAGGCACACCCTGTGCACAGATTGGTTGAAAACTAAATTTCATTACAGGCACACCCTCACCAAGGAATAGATCTACATTTACATTGCCACCAATTGCAGTATCTTATTTTTCAATTTTTTGTCAATGTATAGCATTCACACATCAAGTGTTCTTTTGATCAAATAGATTTTGCTAGTGAGAGAACTTCAATGTTAAATGGTGTTGTATTGAAAAGAAACCTCATTTTTAACTTGCCATGAATTTGTCTTGCTGTGATTTACACTGTCTCTAGGGACAAACTCTAATTATTAAAGTAACATGCTTTTTAAATGCATAATACATTTTCTTTAAACCACTGAGGTACATGATTTAACCCCTTACCCCATTCCTGTTTTTATAAATGTAAAAATTGTTTCTGTTACATTTTGGTGGCAGCGTCTTATTGCCTCTGCTGGGGATCGGAAGACCTCTTGCTTTTGTGCTCTTTTTTGAGCTATTATTCACTGAAACTGCATGCCCAAACCATGATTTTTTTTGCCATTAAAATGAAATGTCCTCATCTCTTTGGAGTGCCGACACCTGTGGGACGAAGTTCTAGGGACAATCACTCTCACCCGCCAGAGAACACCCGGACCCCACGTTGGGCGCCAAATGGAACAGAGACAATTTATTGCCTCTGCTGGGGATCGAACCTGGGACCTCTGGCTTGCCAATCCAGTGCTCTACCGATTGAGCTAAAGGGTTAACCCACTAGCCCAAGCTAGTAGGATGCCGTTTATCTGACACTACCACAGTAACATGCTTCTCAAATGTATAATATTTTTTTCTTTAAACCACTGAGACACATGATTTAACCTCTTGTCCCATCCTAGATAGACACAGTTAGGTTATTCAGTCAAGGGCATCATGGAAACAAGTTACTTTTGAAATAATTTGTTTCAGTTATTAAATGTCAACATTTTGGATTATCTTCCCCTGATTTTGCTTTTTCTTCAGTAACTTATTCCTGTTATTGATACTTTACTACTCATTATTGTAAATCTACTGGCATCTGATTAGCTTTATTCATGCTGTGCTTGGCTTATTAAGTAGAAGGAGAACGTTCATGACAGTAAAAGTAATCTACCTTTTAGATTTAACACATTGAAATCCAACAAATTATAACTTATTTCAGTTATTTCATCCTTAACCCACCTCACTTTAAAACTCTTGCACAAAAAGCTACAGCTTTGCACAAAAAATGTAAGACATAGAGATTGTACAGTAATGCCCAAAGATTTTAGGAAAATTAGTCTCAATGTTGGCAAAATTGGTGGAAGATGTGTAATTGATCTCTGAAATGTTAATGTAATGGAATTATTTTTCCTTGAAAAATATGGTTTTTAGCTCACCTCAACGAAGTTGGGGGAGCTTATGTAATACCCTCGGTGTCGGCGTCGGCGTCCCAGGTTAAGTTTTTTGGAGCAGTTTTCTTTTTAAGTACTTCTATGTCCTATATTGATTAGACATGCATGGAAGGTGGTTCTAGTGTGTTTCATTGTACCAGTCAAAGTTTCAGATACTGCAATTTCAGCAAAGGAATGACCAGGTTAATGTTTTTGGAGCAGGTTAACATTTTTGGTGCAGTTTTTGGTGTAGGTTTCATTTCCAAGTAACTATAAGCCCTATGTTGACCAAACTTGTATGGATGGTACATCTAAGGATGCATACTAACGGGCTTGCTTCGGATGCTGAATCTGACCATGATTTTCCAGTTGAGTGAACAGGTTAAAGTTTTTGGTGTAGGTTTCATTTCCAATAACTATAAGCTCTATATTGACCAATTTGCATGGATGATAAATATAAGGATGCATACTGCATTGCTTCAGATGCTGAATCTGACCTACATTTTCTGGTTGAGTGAACAGGTTGAAGTTTTTGGTGCAGGTTTCATTTCCATGTAACTATAAGCCCTATGTTGACCAAACTTGCATGGATGATACATCTAAGGATGCATACTACCAGGCTTGCTTCGGATGCTGAATCTGACCATCATTTTCCAGTTGAGTGAACAGGTCAAAGTTTTTGGTGCAGGTTTCATTTCCAAGTAACTATAAGCCCTATGTTGACCAAACTTGCATGGATGATACATCTAAGGATGCATTTAAGACTTGCTTCGATGCTGAATCTGACCATCATTTTCTGGTTGAGTGAATAGGTTAAAGTTTTTGTTTAGTGATTCATTTCCAAGTAACTATAAGCCCTATGTTGACCAAACTTGCATGGATGATACATCTAAGGATGCATACTACCGGGCTTGCTTCGTTTTTATGACCATCATTTTCTGGTTGAAACAGGTTAAAGTTTTTGGTGTACACACACAAAAATCTATTTGACCAAACTTGCATGGACGATACATCTTAGGATGCACCCTACTGGACTTGCTTCGGATGCTGAATTCGACATACATTTTTCAGATAATGGACCTGGTAAAAGTTATGGGTGCAGGTCTAATACCAAAAAACTTTAAGGCATATAACATTGTATAAACTAAACTTATACAAATGTTGAATCAAGAAAAAACTCTCAAATTTGCTTCATATGCTGGATTTTGATTACATTTTCATGAAGAAGAACTAGTTTAAATTTTTTATGTAGGTCTATTTCAAAGTATCAGATCAAAATTGCTTAAATATTTTTATTTTTGAAATGTACACTTTTTGTTGGTTAATTGTGTGACTTTGCCTTACTTAAAGACAACATTCATTGAGGTGAGCTCTGTAATCTCTGATTACCTATGTTTTTTTTTTATCATCATATCTGCTCAAGAGATATTAGGTTTGTTGAGTCTATTAAAAGAAGTACATATATACATGATATATTTACAATTTTCTTAGCCTTTAATCATCTTAAATTAGCAGCAAACTCAAAATATTAATGTTTTTTTTGCAAAACTGATAGGCATTCTACTTTTTAAGCATTAACACAAATGAGTTATTTTTTTGTTTATAAATAAATAAGTGAAATAACCTAAACAAGTTATTTTAAAAACTAACTTGATTCCATCATGCCCCTGACGGTTATTTTAACTAGTCCCATCCCTGTTTTTTTAAATGTCAAATTATTTAGATTATTAGGGTCTTATGTCTCCAAAGGAAGACCTTATTGTTTTCGTTTGGTTTCTTTTTCCCTCTTATTCACCAATATATATATATATGATTTTTTTGCCATAAAAATGAAACTAAAGTATTTGGATGGAGAAAATGCTAACTTTTCTGTGTTCTTTTCAGGAAAATATGACTACATTTAAAGAACCTTGAAATGAGATGAAAAAAAGTGAGAAAATGTTTTCCTGAATCTGCGAGGTAACTCCCTACAGTCAATATAGGAAATGAACACATTGTGGAGGTGGACATGAATCAGCCCATGTCCTTCAGTGTCCAGCGTGAGGTCCAGTTCAGGTTTCTCTGTCCAAATGACATTGAAGAAGTCAAAAGGCTGTGTACAGAATGGTTTCCTATTGAGTAAGTGATGTATATTCTACTGAGTGTATTGTGTACAGATGCTATTATATGATTTATTTCACCCATTATCAATGAGGATTTTACATATACATTAAAAGTTCAAGCCTCCTTAACTTCAACTTAATGGAATTGAGAAAAATGATTTATGATACCAAAGGATTCAAGACATATACATCGTACATGTATTTGATATATCAGTATTTAGCCATGTAAATAATGGCATTATATAATGAAGTAAAAACCTAGATACCGCATATGCTAATTGATTTTTAAAATAAATTCTATTCTGTATAATTTGAGAATTTACTAAAACCTTTCAGATACCCTGACACTTGGTACCAGGAGATAACTTCTAATCCCAAGTTCTACTCCCTGGCAGCCACCTTCCATTCCAGAATCATAGGGATTATTGTGGTCGAGGTCAAACAACTCGCCAACACCAATAAAGAGGTTCAGATAACAAAGTATTCTATTAAAAGCATTTAGTTACCTTGTCCCTCTCAATCTGAGTACTAGAGTGTTCCTGTGTTTTTAGCTCACCAAAGCCCAATGCTTAAAGAGATTTTCTGATCAAAAAGTGCCCTGTGTCTGTTTAGCTGTCTGTTGTGTATTGTGTATTGTCTGATATCTGAGCATCTTTCAGATCTTTTCTCTTGGCCTTATTTCAACTAAACTTGCCTAAGTAATTGAGTCATCTTAAATTATTGGAGTGGACAAAGCCAACATGAATCCCTTATAACACTATTTTACTGAAAAAAACTTGTGTCTCATTGGGAAAAAAGCTTATTATCCTCTTTATAATTCAAAATACTTTTAGACTAATATGTAATGGGATTGTGTAACATTGTAGGATGCAGACATCCTGGCCTCCTATTATCCCCCAACATGTCAGGTGGCCTACATTCTCAGCCTGGGTGTGGTGGTGGACTACAGAAAACATGGAATAGGTATGTATTTTACCAAGAGTCACTCCAAATTATAATTTATACTAAAGTTACAGAAATAAAAAAATATACTGATGGCCTCTGTAACATTTAAATGTATTGTTTGAGTCATATCGTATTTAGCTCACCTGAGTTATTATTGACTTCTCAAGAATCACTGTGCCATTAAGACCCAAACTTGCCATAAAGCATTCTTGGGGTTTGTTCAAATAATGAGCCACCCTCTTAAAAAAAATGCTGGAAAAGATCTATTTTACAAGTAGCTTTTTTTGCGTGAAGTCATTTATATTCATGGGCATTAATTTTCAAAGAATTTGTCAAATTCACAATGCATCATCTAATAAAAATTGTTGCTGCACTTCTTATTTCAATAAATTTTTTATTTGATGCATTGAATGTTCAACCAAATCCATGAAAATAAATGTTCAATAAATACATAAATAAGCCACAGCGTACCAAAACATTCTGCAGAAAGTTAACACAATCATATTTGTAATTTTTTGTCTTATTTTAATAATTTTAACTTTTTTGTAGCTTCCTTGTTGTTGGATAGCTTAATCTCTTACCTCACTGCCAAGGATCGGTACAACTGTAAGGCCATATACCTCCACGTTCTGGCCAGCAATTGTATCGCCATAAAGTTTTACGAGAAGCGACGGTTTAATGTCCACAGCTTCCTCCCTTACTACTACTCAATACAAGGAAAACCTAGAGATGGGTATCTCTATGTGTTATACATCAACGGTGGAAAACCTCCCTGGTCCACTATATATCCTTTACTAAAGCCTGGTTGTGCAATACAAATTCAAATCTAATATATGTCAACAATATCTGATGTTGCCCCATTTTCAGTACACTAGATACAGAGGTTGAAAGAGCCTTTCCAATTGAAATTGATCCATAGTCCTTGATCTTTAGAACTTAATCCATAACTGGGGCAGTCTTAATAACATTAATTTAGATTTTTCTCTGCAATGTTTGTAAGTGGGGATGTATTAACTCAGAAGTTAGATTTTAATTACCTGCTTTAATAAATGCTTAGAGGACACAAAAAAGTTTTGGAAAACATACATTATAGGTGTAATGATCAATTCATAATGGGTTTTTTAAATATATTTGTATTATATTTGAAATTTCACATACCTGTACTAGTAATTGTGAATTATTAATTTCCTTAACTGTGTTACTGATTATTTTATGAATATGGGAGAATTATTGATGAAGTTACAGCCATGTGCCCTACCACGACAGATCATACGAAGCGTACGTGGATGGTTCTGTCGACTCTTGGCCGGGGCCACCTCCGACTAGTCACCATTCCATTCCCTACCAGGGAGCATCTCAAAAAGTATAATCCTATCAGGGAAAATTTCAAAAGTATTCTTCAGATAAATAGTTCCATGGTCTTTCTTTCCATTTTCCAGTAATATTTAGAACCTTGTGGACTTTTCTGATCACTCAAGTAAAGAAGTCGTGATGCCTGCAGTCAATTTTAATGATTTTTTTTTTATTATCAGAAATTTCTAGTTGATGTTACTGAAAATACATGTAGTAACAAATAATAAAAGGCCAAATCACTTTATCCTCAACCAAGAAATAAAAAAAAAAATGCTCTAGCTTATTGACTCAATTTTTTTGAAAGCAATCTTTTACTGAGGAAAGTTGAAATTTATATTTTATTGCTTACCATGATTTAGTTGATGAGGACATATATTTTTGTGCCAATTCCAATGGATTCCATGTGTTTCTTACTTTTTGTTTTATTTATTTAATCATATTTATTTAATATATGTTTACATGTACAACAATGAAACGAAAAATATTCAAGATGCAGACTATTTGCAGTAAGACTTAATGATCAACTTCCATATTTAAGATGTTTTTTTCTTATTTTTAAAGGTAAGGATAAATTCCTCCATTGCAGGGTATAAAGGAAAAATTCATTATAGGTCTTTTCTGCTAAGGGTACTGTACTTATTTGTGTTCAAGATTTCATCTCATTTACAAGCATCTGTAAGGTTTAAATATTCATGATTTGGCCAGATACAAAGTATAAATAATACACCAATAAACATATGCAGTTAAATAAATCTGTCATTTAAATTTACTTCCAAAAGTAAATTGATATTCATTACACATATGTTTACTTTCTTATATTCTTTTATCATTATTTAGACTAACCTTAAAACTTGTAAATTTCTGCATCATCCATTATTGTTAAGAGTAGAATTTATTTTAATCTTTGTTAGCATTCAGAAAAAGTGACCAGTTAAGGTTGTAAAGGTACTGTAAACCAACTTTTATTCGCGTGCGAGAAATTTTCGCGATGTTTGCGAGAGCCCCATAATCGCGAATATTTCTCGCCGTGAAGCGGTCCTTACAGTCCATTTGCTTATTAACAACAGATCCAAAATAGGCTTGATCGCGAAAATTAATCGTCGCGAACTAGTTTATTCCCGGTAAATCGCGAAATAAAGTTGTCGCGAATAAAAGTTGGTTTACAGTAACTCTTTCAAATCTTACACATTTTATGTGGTTAAGTATAATTGGGAAGGTTTTTGAGGAAACAAATCAAATTGTTTTTATATGGTTTCATGCAAAATTATTTCTGATAAAAAGCATGGTGACAAATAAGAAATTCTTTATTGCATAATTATACATGTACATGTAGTATACATGTGGATGTGTCTGTGTGGAAACATTTATTGAAAAGAACTCTGATCTCATTTTTTTTCTTGCTGTTCTTATAACTCCCTTTAGAATTTGGGAACTTTTTCAAAACTAATAAACCATTAATTTTTTGCCTTTTTAAGATATACAAATTATCAAATAGAGTTGACTTTTTAAAATATTAACCCATGTAACTAACCTTTGTTGATGGGTTGCAGTGATATTGTATTCGGATGTTTTACTATGTTTTTTGCTTAAATGAGAATATACATTGTAAAATGTTACTCTGGGCATAATGTTGATTTCTACATACATTTATGTAAAAGTGACTGAGTCTGAGTGGCCATTTCAGCTTACTGTTTCATAATAACTTGTATTGATTGTCCATGTAGATGTTTACAATTACAATTTAAAAAAACAAACAGCAAATACACTGTACTTGTATTTTAAAATGCTATCTTAATATATATTTTCATGCCATTGGTCAATTCCAGTACTTCAAATGAAGACAAGAAGTTTAACTGTGCATTTTCTTTTGGCACAAATCATTTCCTGAACATCCCACATTTATGAAATTGTCATCAGTTGTTCATATTCCCCATGCTATCTCTTCTCCTAACAAAATTCACTCTATTCTCTGTGATATGTTCTCTGAATCTGAAATCCAACATTATGTACATATAATCTTTTTCATGTCTAGATTTGTCTTGTCGTGACTCAAAACATCAAGATATCATAAAAGGAGACACCATTATGCATTTTAGTGCTGACACCGGAACAAATACATTTTTTCTGTGATAGTTAATATGTAACTTAATTCCTATATTCTGAGACATTATTGTATTTTTCTAGATAAATATTCAATCACTGTCCCAGTTTCGAAGAGAGATTGTAGTAAATCGTTTTTATAGGGATAGCAAAACAATAATTGTAAAGTAATTGGCATAAAACAACAAAATGTCAGAGTTAAACTAGAAATTGTTTGTCAATGTACCATAGATGCATGACCAAAAGGTTCCAGTATGTGTCCATATGTACCACCAAATGAAATAGATAGAACTGTAAAAGCACATTTTCATTTTTGTGTTTGAAAATATGCTTTAATTTGGAGTCACTTGTTACAGGTAATGATGTATGTTATAAAATCTGTGCTGTTTTAATTGTTTGTTGATTAATATGTTTAAATACAAATGTACATGTAGTTATTGTCCATTTGTGTTATTTGTTCATTAAAAATACAAATGAAATAAATATTTCAAAAATTATTATGTGTATTTTCCTTTATATGCTTCATATTGGTTGCAACTTAATTAATGGAACAGGGTCAGAATTAAATCTGATTCCAAAAGAAAATTTTGAGGAATAGATAAAATAATCCAATTTTCCAATAACTACAAATTATTCAGGAGTAGGACCCCAACTCATCAATATACAAGCATGCTCATGTGTCATAGATTCAAGCTTGCTCAAATAAAAGATGTTGGATCACAATATTGGGTCAACATTTTATGCAGGAAAACCAATGTACACAACAAACAAAAATTTTATTAAATTTGGATACTGGGTACTTCCTGACAACCAAAATGTAGATTAGAAATGTTCACAACACGTGTATTTAGTTTAAGGCCACAATAAGGGGTTTCACTTATCAGAAAAAAAAATATAATTCTGGTGAGTGTTGTGGCCCATGGGCAACTGATTTACCGGTGTATAAGATACAGTCAAATTTCATTATCTCGAACCAGCTGATGGGTCTTAGAAAAAAACTTTGAGATATCTGAGGATTCGAGATATTGATGGTAAAATACTTACAGAATAAAAGGTTGGGACTTCAACATGTTTATGATACTGTATTCGAGATTTTGAAGTTCGAGATACCGAAGTAACTGTACATCAATATTTAAAAATATCTTGCTGTATATGCATTTCAACTGATATACAGCTTTTATTAAAGATTTGAAATGGTTTTTGCTGTTTCTCAAAACTTAGGAATTAACTAGAATTATTATACCTCTACTGATTTTTCACTATATAAAAGTAAATCGATATATTTTGCTGATTTTCCTGAAATTCACCATGATTAAACCGAATCCCTGCAAAACAGACTGATTCCCTGCAAAAAAAGTTAGTTTTTTGATGAACTGATACACACCTATTCAGAACACTTAGCATTTTCTTTAAACTTACGACAAACTTAGAAATGTTCCGAATAAACTCATGAATATTCATTAATGAATTGAAATGCATTGCGAGTCAACTGATCCCATATCAATCAAAAAGAACCAGTTTACTGGTAGCAAACGAAAACAGAAATGGCGAGTGAATGTAACTTTTTCAAATGTCTTGTTTTTATCGGTATAATAAAACAGTTAAAGTATATTACTGAGGGAGTTAGCAAGATTCCATTTCCCCAAGAGCAAGCCTATTTCCCTCGGCGCAATTAAGCGCCTCTGGAAGTAGACTTGCTCTTGGGGAAATGGAATCTTGCTTACTCCCTCAATAATATTCTTTAACTGTATAATATGTCCATAGGACATGAATGCTCCGCCGAGGGTGTATTAGTAATGCAACATGAAAATTTGTATTAGTGTATGAAATTTGATCAAAATACCTTGAATAGTGATGCAGTTGAATTGTTTACATCAGTATGTATCAGCATATGAAGTTTGACACTAATTTCATTAAAATGAGGTCAAGGTCAAAGGAAATGCCAAGGTCAAGAACTGTTGATGCAGTTGAAAAGCTCTCATCAGTATGTTTCAGCATGTAAAGTTGAAAAAAAATATTATAAATGGTTTCTTTAAAACTGACTTAAAAACAATTTGATAAAAGTGAGGTCAAGGTCAAATGAAAGGTCAAGGAAAAAATTTTACAGTTGAATTGCTTACATCAGTATGTATCAGCATATGAAGTTTGACACTGATTTAGGAAAAGTGAGGTCAAAGGAAAGGTAAAACCAGAAGTCTCTGTCGAGACTGAAGCTCTACTGGTTTGAACTTATAGCAAAGGAAGAGAAAGTACTGAAGCAGCTGGGATTTGAGACTTTATAAACAGCATTAAATAGAATAATGATCGTTGATAAAGTCTCTTTATGTTCTTAGTGTAGTCTACTTGTGTGCCAAGTTATACTGAAATCAGACCAAAACTGTAGGAGGAGTAGCATTTTGAAACAATTTTAGACATTTCTATTTTTAGTAACCACGGCAACACCGTTCATCAAAATTAAAATTAGATACACAGAATTATGTATCTTAGTGTAGTCTACTTGTGTGCCAAGTTATATTGAAATCAGACCAAAACTGTAGGAGGAGTAGCATTTTGAAACAATTTTACAGACATTTCTATTTTTAGTAACCACGGCAACATCGTTCATCGAAATCATAAACCGATATATAGAATTATGTATCTTAGTGTAGTCTACTTGTGTGCCAAGTTATACTGAAATCAGACCAAAACTGTAGGAGGAGTAGCATTTTGAAAGAATTTCACAGAAATTTCTATTTTTAGTAACCATGGCAACACCATTCATCGAAATCAAAAACCGATACACAGAATTATGTATCTTATTGTATTCTACTTGTGTGCTAAGTTATACTGAAATCAGACCAAAACTGTAGGAGGAGTAGCATTTTGAAAGAATTTTACAGAAATTTCTATTTTTAGTAACCACGGCAACACTGTTCATCGAAATCAAAAACTGATACACAGAATTATGTATCTTAGTGTAGTCTACTTGTGTGCCAAGTTATACTGAAATCAGACCAAAACTGTAGGAGGAGTAGCATTTTGAAAGAATTTCACAGAAATTTCTATTTTTAGTAACCACGGCAACACCGTTCATCGAAATCAAAAACCGATACACAAAATTATGTATCTTAGTGTAGTCTACTTGTGTGCCAAGTTATATTGAAATTAGACCAAAACTGTAGGAGGAGTAGCATTTTGAAAAATTGTTTACAGACAGACGGACAGACGGACGGACGCCGGACGCATTACTATCGCATAAGCTCTTCTGGTCTCTGACCAGTAGAGCTAAAAATGTTGACGCAGTTGAATTGCTCTCGTCAGTATGTAACAGCATATGAAGTTTGATAACAATATCTTGAATGGTATCTCTAAAACTGAACTAAACACTAATTTAAGATAAGTGGGGTCAAGATCAACGGAAAGGTCAAGGTCAAATAAAATGTCAATGTCAAAATGTTGATGCAGTTAAATTGCTTACATCAGTAGTATCAGCATATGAAATTTGACACTGATTTAGGAAAAGTGAGGTCAAAGGAAAGGTCAAGGTCAAAAATGTTGATGCAGTTGCATATCTCTCATCAATATGTATCAACATATGAAGTCTGATAAAAATATCTAGAATGGTATCTTTAAAAAATTGAGCTGAACACTAATTAAAGATAAGTGAGGTCAAGGTCAAAGGAAAGGTCAAGATCAAAATGGTGAGGCAGTTGAATAGCTCTCATCAGTATGTATCAACATGTGAAGTTTGATACATGTAACACCATCTTGAATGATATGTTTAAAACTGAGCTAAACACTAATTTAAGAAAAGTGTGGTCAAGGTCAAAAGAAAGGTCAAGGTTAAAAAATGTTGATGCAGTTGCATAGCTCTCACCTATATCTATCAGCACATGAAGTTTGATGAAAATATCTTGGACAGTTTCTTTGAAACTGAGCTTTGAACACACTAAACGCAAAGTGTGATGGAAGGACAGACGGAAGGAGAAGGACGGAAAGACGGAAGGATGGAAGACAGACATGATAAACACTATATGCCCCGGCATATTCATGGCGGGGCATAAAAAAAAACAAGGACAGTTTTTTTTTTATTCTTTTATTTTGACAAATGCAGTCCCAGTATGTTCTTTTCCTGCTTCAGACCGTCCTGGCACTATCACAATTACCAAAGAGTTCTGTTTCACATTCTTAAGAATCTTTCCTACTCTTTTGTCCATTTTTTGTAAACAACTCTGTAAAGAAAGGGAATAACACTTAGAATCTATAGGAAAAAATTGCATCCACATGGAGAATTGAATACTGTACCCCTGAGGCCTAAAATAAAAATTAGTTTGTTTGCAGTGCCTACCGACCCACTGAAAATGCACCTGACCCAAACTTTTGTTTTAGCCATTTTGTAATTTTTTTTCTTCTTCAATTTTTTAGAATATTGAAACTGTTTCATTTTCAATCTTTGATTGGTGTTATCAATCAGTGGTTTATAACAAGAGTGGAGCTTACTCATGTTTAGTAGGCCTTAAGAAAACATGGAAAAGCTCATCATTTGTTATCTAACAAAAATATGATATTTTTTTTTTCAAAAAAAAAAAAAAAGAGGCCCAGGGGCCACAACGCTCACCTGAGCCCATTGGCTAGGAAAAAGCACATATCAGATCAGAACTGAAAGTTTACGTTTTATAGGGGTTCATGATTTGCAAACTAGAATCTACACTGCCTAAATGATTCCATATTAATATTTTATGACACTAATCATAGCTTTGAAGTACTTGAAAAGATGATTTTAAAAGGTTTCCCTATAAATCCCTATGTAAAACTTGGGTCAGCCATTTTGGCCCCACCCTAGCCCCAGGGGTCATGATTTGAACTAACTTGAATCTACACTACCTGAGGATGATTCCACATGAGTTTCATCTTTCCTGGCCCAGTGGTTCTTCAGAAAAAGATTTTTAAAGATTTTTCCTATATATTCCTATGTAGAAGTTGGGTCGGCCATTTTGGCCCCATCCTAGCTCCGGAGGTCATGATTTGAACAAACTTGAATCTACACTACCTGAGGATGATTCCACATGAGTTTCATCTTTCCTGGCCCAGTGGTTCTTGAGAAGAAGATTTTTAAAGATTTTTCCTATATATTTCTATGTAAAACTTTGGTAGGCCATTTTGGCCCCATCCTAGCTCCAGGGGTCATGATTTGAACAAACTTGAATCTACACTACCTGAGGATGATTCCACATGAGTTTCATCTTTCCTGGCCCAGTGGTTCTTCAGAAAAAGATTTTTAAAGATTTTTCCTATATATTCCTATGTAGAAGTTGTCGGCCATTTTGGCCCCATCCTAGCTCCGGAGGTCATGATTTGAACAAACTTGAATCTACACTACCTGAGGATGATTCCACATGAGTTTCATCTTTCCTGGCCCAGTGGTTCTTGAGAAGAAGATTTTTAAAGATTTTTCCTATATATTTCTATGTAAAACTTTGGTAGGCCATTTTGGCCCCACCCTAGCTCCAGGGGTCAT